GAGCCTATATTTCCTGTCAACATGTTTAAGGCCCAGGCCCTTAAACTCAGGACTTTGAAGTTTGATGATGCAAGCTAATCTGCATTTGTGTCAGACCACTCTGGTCCATATACTTAGATTGTTTCCAGAAAAATTAAAACATTGACTTAGTATTGTTGTGTTTATGTTAGTTAAAAGTTAAAAGCACCTTTTTAACATTTTTTTTGCTAGAATGGCTATTTGTAAAAATATCTATTTTGCAAATATTTATATGTGTGATTGCCTGTATGCATACACTATCTAGAGCTTGGAAGGTCAGAAGAGGACTTAGGATCTCATTGGGAATAAATGTTCAGAGAGTTGAGAATTGGGTGCTTAGAAGTGAACTCAGGTCCTCTACAAGACAGCAAGTGCTCCTCACCACCGAGCTCTCTCTCTAGTTCCATAGAGAAAGACTGGTTTTAAATCGTGTGAAAACCCTATCACATTCTGTAATATACAGAGCCCATTGCAATAAAATGTTCCATTTGCTTAATATATATTTGAGGTGACTGGGTTCAGACCACATGGAGGCTTTTGCTAAAGGGTAACTCTAATGCTGTGGGCATTGCATAACTCTGTGTACTTATATGGCAGCACAACATGCAATCACATACTATAAAGCAGCCTTAAAATACTTTCTTTTTATTTAGACAGAAAAGCAGAGATGATGTGGGATTCCCCTCTGTATGCTGTGAATATGCTTTATTATCATTGGTTAATTTAAAAAATGTTTGGCCTATGACAGAGCAGAATATAGTAAAGTGGGAATTCCAAACAGAGATAGAGGAAGAAAGAAGGCAGAATCAGGAAGACATTATGAAGCTACTGAAAGAGAAGAACGCTGGAACCTTACCAGTATACCACAGCCTTGTGGCTATACACAGATTAATAGAAATGGGTTAGTTTGAAATATAAGAGCTAGCTAGGAATACACTTGAGCCATTGGCCAAACAGTGTTTTAATATAGTTTCTGTGATTATTCCAGTCTGGGCAGACAGAAAACAAAAGCAGTCTTTGCTTATATTTGAGACTAAAATTGTGGTGGATTCTCTGTGAAATTGCTCAGTTATCATTGCCAAAGGTCAAAATAGACCACAAATGCTGTTCCTTGATAGTTTATGGTTTCTGAACTATATTAGAATACAAAGCTCATGTGTTTCGACTTGATACTTAAGGTTGGCAGACTTCATAACTGCCATTTCTAGAAAACTCTTGATGGTCCTCCCTGTACCTTTCTGCCCCCAAGTCATTACATGCACCATTCTCTTTCTTTCTAAAACAAATAAGAAACAAATTGATTTAAATATCAAATTATATACATCCCTATATTTCCATATTCTGTTAGGCTGCTTTCTTGACTTTTCCTAAAAAGACCTAATGCTCTCAGAATATTTAAAGATCTTTCCAATTAACCTCTCTGTGTGACACAGAGCTAGGCTATCAATTATTATAATTAGGAATTAAAATGAAAAAAATCACAAATGCTGTTGTGATTTTTCAATTACATAAAAGCTCTAGTTTTGCTGTGGGTTGGAAGTCAGTTTAGCCCTATGGTCCAGTGTGTCATAAGAGGAGCACTAAGCTGGGAGGTAGTAGTAGATTCTTGTCATGGGGTTTGTAACTAACTTGACCATGGGGACTCATTTATCTCTGTATGATGAGAGAGAGAGTTAAATTATCAAATAATAGAAATATCTTTCAGCCTTAAACACACTTCACATTTAAACACACACACACACACACACACACACACACACACACACACACACACGTTGGAAGACCAACAACAACCAAACATACTGTCTGTCATGATTATAACTTGAGAACTCTCTTGTATTGAGTTACTGATAACGAGCACTCTTTATCATCCAAGCTAACACTCAGCAGACATATTTGAGAGTACTCTGTTCCTCTTATTTGGATGTTATATAGGGTCTGGGGGGAACAAATTACGTGAGCTTCCCAGTCCAGAGGAGGCTCCCAGCAGCAGGCAATATGTCATCATCATACAGCTATACTTTGAGCTTTTCTAAAAGGCATTTAACAAGAACTTACAGGTTACAAGTGTTGTATACTGCAGGCACTATGATAAGTGAAGTTATAGTAGAAGGAAGTCATTAATTATGCGATTATTAATATAATCACTATTTTGCAGATGGATTTAACCTTCTAAACTTCACTAAGATCATAGAGCTAAGGTCCAGCAGCAAAACATGTGTCCTAACCACTCTTTCCTCAGTTTCATTGCTCCTCTAAAACTGTCTCTACTTACTGAATATAAATTATAGCCATGTAAAATTTAGAAAGTATCTAATTTGTGTTCAAAGGCATTTTATTTAATGTAAATGGATCCATTGAACATGAAAGTAAATGGTTCTCTGTTGGATATTAATTGAAAACTTCTATTTTTATTCTAGCCATGAAGTAAGTTAATTGAGCAGTAACCAAACAGCCTTCATATTTTTTTTGCACTTCCTTACTTCCATCCTTGGTAGTAAGAGTGATAACTTGGGAAGCCTGCAGAAGTATTTGAAAGTGATCAGGAAAGAGGCTGGTGCTTCTGGCATGGTCAGCTGAAGGAAAATGTCGATGTAGTTGGCGGAATGAATCAGGAGGAATGTTTAGGAGTGGTTTATAAGGGGTTAAAAAACAATAATCCCTGTATCCTGAGCATCAGTTAGGCATTCAGATGTTCTTTGGGGAGTTCTAAGGGCACTTTGGCCTCACATGGTAGAATTTCTATTCCACAGATGAGGCTCAGTATGAGACGATGACTTGCTCAAGGCCACCTAGTCCCTACTTACAGATGAAGTCATGTTAACAGAGCTTTCTGGATTGCCTTCTCCCCAGTACTTTTCATGGATCTTCCAGCTTTCAGAGAGGATTGCTACTAATTCTCAGTGGGGTGGGGCCTGGAGCACAAACCTACTGAAAGGCCAATGCTTTCTTGAATTCTTTTATGTTTGGTTCAAAACATTATGTATTTAGTATTCTATCGCATAAAGTGCTATTTCAGTGAGAAGCAATTTATCATTTTCTAAGTTATTTGATTTCTACCTATTGTGGTTTGCATGTGAAAAGTTCTTGTATGTTAAGGGCTATTTTCTTATTGCCACAGTATTCCAAGGGTTTTGTGTGTGTGTGTGTGTGTGTGTGTGTGTGTGTGTGTGTGTGTGTGT